CCTCCTCCCTGGAGAATGGACCACAGAAAAGTGGGTGAAGGGAGACATCGGACAGTGTAAGATATGACAAAATAATAATTTATAAATTATCAAGGGTTCTTGAGGTGGGGGGAGCGAGGAGGGAGGGGGGAAATGAGGAGCTGATGCCAGGGGCTTTAGTGGAGACCATATGTTTTGAGAATGATGAGGGTAATGAATGTACATATGTGCTTTACACAATGGATGTATGCATGGATTGTGAGGAGCTGTATGAGCCCCTAATAAAATGATAAAAAAACCAAAAAACAAATGAGTACAAAATACAACATACACAAATCTTTAGGGCAATGGGTGCAGCAAAAGCAGCCATTCATAGCAATAAGTGCATCTATAAAAATAAAAAATAAAAAGAACCCAAATCAACACCCTAAACTGTTATCTACAAAAAGTTGAATAAGAACAGCAAAATAAATCCTTTGACAATGGACAGAAACAGTAAAGAATAGAAATAAACGAATGTGAAAACAGAAAAACAACGGGAAAAAAACCAATAAGAAAAGAAATTGTTACTTTAAAAGGATTAACAAAATAGACAAACTTCTGGCATGGTTAACAAAAGAAAAGACGTAAATATTATGAATAATACATGAAATGGGTGTCATCACAACAGAACTAACCAAAATTAACAAAGGATATCACAATATTATGAAGGACTAGTAAATTTTAAAATGTGGGAGAAATGGACAAATTTCTAGAAGCACATTACTTATATAGTGGAAATTTAACACAGATTGATATAGAAAACATTAACAGACCTTTAACACATGAAGAACCATATCTGGCCATTAAAAAATTCCCAACAACAATAAAGTCCAAAAGATTAGATGAGTTTTCTGGGAAATTCTACAAACATTCAGAGAAGAGTTAACACCAATTATATACAAACTATTCCAAGACAAAAAAAAAACCAATATACTATCATTCCCATTTTATGAAGCAAGTATATCCCTGATACCAAAATCAGGCAGACGATACCAGATTAGACAAATTATAGACCAATATCCTTTTAGAATAGGTGCAAAAAATTTCAACAAAATTCTAGCCAAAAGACTTCAACAAATCATTTAAAAAAATTACATCATGATCAAATGGATTTGTTAGGTATGTAAGGATATTTTTCAATATTAGTAAAATAATCAATGCACTCTATCATATAAATAAATCAAAAGAACCCTTTGATTATATCAATTGGTGCAGAATGGGTATTTGACAAAATCCAACATCCTATTTGATAAAAACAGTCCATAAAACAGGAACAAAAGGGAAATTCCTCAATGTAGTAAATGGCACATACACAAATCAATGGCAAGAAACGGAAAGCCTTCCTCCTCTGAACGGGTACCAGACAGGGATGCCCTTTTCTCACCACTTTTTTTTAACATCATCTGGAACTCCTAGTCAAACTATTAGACATCACAAAGAAATAAATGGCAACGGGATCAGAAAGAAGTAGTAAAATTGTTGCAAATGACATGATTTTGTATATATAAGATTTGATAGGATATTTGCTGGAACGGGTTGAAAAATTTGGCAATGTAGCAGGGTGTAAGAAAAACATACAAAAATTAATAGGATTCCTGTACATTAAGGAAGAAAACTCTGGAAAGGAAATTTGAAAAACAGTAACATTCATAATAACCACCCAACGATGAAATACTTAGAAATAAATTACAAAACACTACAACAAGAAACCAAGGGAGGCATACATAAATGGAAGCATGCTTTGTGTTCATGGTAGGAAGACTTAATATAGTGAAGACGTCAATATTACCTGAAAATATCTATAAAGATAATGCAATTCTGATCCAAATCCTAGCACTATTGTTCAAAGAAAGAGGAAAATTAAAACGTACTATATTGCGACAGTAGTTAAAGCAACATGGTGTCAGTGCAACAAGATATGCAGATCACTGAATCAGGATTTCCCTATCAAGAATAGAGAACCTAGAAACAAGACCAAGCACCCAGAGACACCTGGTTTTTGATAAAGGACTGAAACACATCAAATGGGGAAGAAACAGTCCTTTCAATAGTGGTGCTGAAGAAAGTCAGATATCCATCTGCAGAAAGTGAAACAGGATCCATACCTAACATCAGAGAAAAAAGCACACACCAGATGATTTAAAGACTTAATATAAACTTTAGAATTATAATGACTAAACTGGGACAAACTTAAGAGCTTCAATATAAGCTATAAATACAGTATCAAACACACTGAAAAAACACCCATTACTACCGAAGACAAAATAGAGGCTGGAGACCTTCTAAAAATAGGACCTGTATGTACATCAAAAGAGTAAAAGGAGAATCTATATACTACGGAATAATTTTTGGCAATGATTTAACAGATAAAGGGCTAATATCCAAAATTTAGAAAAGTGCAACATCATCAATAACAAAAACATGAATAATCCCATTAAAAGACATGAACAGACAGTTCATCAAAAATGATGATCAGGACAGGCAACAAACATGAAGGCTTACAATCACTTGCTATTAAGATAAATGCAAATTAAAACTATGATGAGGTGCCATCGCACACATCCACTGATAGCAAATTAAAAAAAAAAAGTATCAAAAACAGAAAATAACAAATGCTGGAGATGATGTGGAGGAATTGGAACCCTCATTCTGCAAATTCTCTGGTGGGCTGCAGGATTGTGCAGCCACTATGAAAAGTGGTTCTTTAAACAAAATGTGCATGAAATACAGTATGACTAGGCAAACTCTACTCTACTCAGCACTTACCCCCAAAGAAAACACACACAGATATATGTATACTTGGGTGTAGTACAATGTTATCTGCAATAGCAGAAAGATGGAAACAACCAAAATGCAGGTGTGTGGAGTAATGAATAGAAACTAATGAATACATACAATGGAATATCATGTACCCCTAGAATACAATGCTGTTAACTGTCAAACAGCTCATAGCATGGACTAATTTGGAAATATTATCCTCCGCAAAGTTAGGCAATCTCATAAAGACAAATATATTATGAGATCATTATCATAAAAGAAAAATTAGCCAGAATGGTTTCACAGTAAAAGCAGCAGACTTTTATGGTTAGCGAGGCCAGAGGGAAGGGGGTGGCCAATAAATAGAGACAAACAAAAAGACACTTACAGGTTGCATACATTACTTTTGATCATATACCATTAGCTTTAGCTCAAATGACCACCTAGGTGAAAAAGAAAGTCCCAACCAACAAATGACAGCCCCAGGTATCCCCTTCAGCTCCTACTCTACAGATGCATCCCAGGATTCTCCTCAGCCCCTATCCCAGAGTAAAATGAATAAATTAAAAATGTATAAAGATAGGTCATGGGCTGGAATTGGCCTGTGTTTCAGGTTACTGACCTGATACACTATCTAACATAATATGACTTGAAAGTTTTACAAATGTCAAAAACACGAGTACAGGTAATCTAATTTATAATGCTACTACAAAATACACAAGAAACTATTCAATAGCTCAGTTCCATAAACAAAATTCTCCTACAAATCCCAGAAGTCCGTAAGTTCAAAATGTTTGAATTCAGAGTTATAAGCATGACCCTTACAAGAAAATGATATACTATGTTAGTACTAACCGATCATCATCATCTGCATGGGCATTAGTGCTAGAAGTGCTCTGAAGTGTTGGTAACCCCTCGGTGACACCTTCATCTACTGAGCCTGTAAATAAAAAGGGACACTGTCAGTGCTTTGGTGTAAATAAAGACCAAGATACTATTCACCAGATTCATCTCCAAGCCACAAACACATCCTATTGTAGGGCATCAAAAGTTTGAAGGAAAAAAAACACCCCACTATCTTTCAATTCTACCCCTCCCCACAAACTACAAAGATCAATTAAAAATACGTATCACAACTTAAAGGAAACACAATTTTAAAAACTTGTTTTTTGTGAAATATACCCTTTGTGTGTAATTTAGGAAATTGAGTTATTAAAGCAAAAAAGAGAAAACTGCCACCATCCTAGAAGTCATTTATTCTTTTCTGATCATAACCCCCCACTCCTCTAAGACGTAGCACCATCCCTTTCATGATGACAATCGTCTTCCTTTAACAAAAGTAGCTCTGTCTCAAATAGATGTACCCACACACTAAGGGGTGGTTTTTGTTAGAACATGGCCACGTAGAGCCTACGGCTGCTTTCACTACAGTTGCAGAACTGAGTAGCTGTGGTCACAAGAGAAACCATAGAGACTAAAATATTTACTATCCGACCCTCTAAGGCCGTTTGCTGACCCTTGTCATAAACAGTTTATGTCTGAGTCAGAGTAGACTTCATTGAATTTGTTTAAACTTCCTTAAATTGATTTATATTGTATGAATTCTTAGTCTTGCTTCAAGAGTGCAGATTCATCTAAGTGTGTCACAGGTAGCTGAAGCTTGATCACTGTTGTGTAAGAGTAATAATTTATCCTTTTTACTTAGAAAAATCATTTTACTGGGGGCACGTACAACTCTGATCACAATCCATACATACATACATCCATTGTGTCAAGCATATTTGTACACTGTTGCTGTCATCATTCTCAAAACATTTCTTTCTACTTGAGTCCTTGGTATCAGCTCATTTCCCCCCTCCCTCCCTCATGAACCTTGATAATCCTTCACCCACTTTTCTGTTGTGCTCTCCCAGGGAGGTTATATGTAGATCATTGTGATCAGTTCCCCCTTTCTCCCTGCACCTTCCCCTTCCCCTCCTCATATCGCTACTCTCATTATTGGTCCTGAGGGGTTTATCTGTCCTGGATTCCCTGTGTTTCCAGCTCTTACTTGTACCTGTGCACATGCTCTTGTCTGGCTGGATTTGTAAGGTAGAATTGGGATCATGATAGCGGAGGGGAGGAAGCATTAAAGAACTAGAAGAACGTTGTATGTTTCATCGGTGCTGTACTGCACCCATTTTACTCTTAATGAATATTTGAGTCTTCGGTTATTATGATCAATACTGTTATATTTTTGCAAAAGTAGCTTTCAATGCTCACATACACACTTTTTTGCTACAATATACACTTAGAGGAGTGAAATTGCTAGTCTTAAAATATGCGATTCTTCAACTTTACCAGAAAATTCTGAACAGTTTTCCAAACTGATTGCACTACACTTACAATATTACCAGGCTTGTAAGAGTTGTATTTTTTCACATTCTCACAAACACTTGACTATATCACTTTTTAAAAAAATGCCAATCTGGTGGGTATAAATATTTCACTGTGGTTTGTATTAAATTTGCTTTGTTATTGAAGTTGAGTACCTTTACATGTATTTATTGAACCTTCTCTTTTTTGACATGTTTATGTATTACTGTTACATTGTCTGCTTTTTCATTTTAAGAGCTCTTTACATACCCGTTATACATGTATCTTCCACCTCTCCATGGTTTCTTTCATTGTTGTTGATAACTGCACATTTAAAAATGGGACTGAATTGTCCCTCTCAGAAGGACCACATGGTAGGGATGACAAATCCAGGGTGCGGTATAGCACTGAAGCACATAACTAGCCTCTAGTTCTTTAATATCTCCTCCCTTTAATATTATAGTTTTTGTTTTCCCTCATTATCATGTTAGACTTGCGTATGTTTGTTTGTATCATCAAAATCATTTGATACACGAAAGCCAAGATAGATAACACTCCAGAAACAGTAACAGGAGTAATGGTTCCCTGAGGGAACGGGAGGTGAGGGGAGGGGGAAAGGAAGAGGGAACAGCTGATAACATGCCTGTGTAACTCCACTTGAGGGGAGCAAACAACAGAATTGTACATAAATGTATATATTGGACTGTGTGAAATGCAGCAAAAAAAAGGGTGAGTTCTGGGGGGGAATAGAGGGAGCTGATATCAAGGAGTTCAAGAGGAAAGAAAATGATTTGAAATTGAATGTAATAACAATTGTACAATACCATTTGATGTGATTTAACTATAGCATATTATCGGTAAGAGCTCCCAATAAAATGAAAAAAAAAAAAGGGTAGTGAATTGATGAATTTGTTTCTACCATGGTTATTAATTTTTACTCATTTAAAAAAATTTCACATCTCAAATTATCTTAAGAAAGATCAATGATGGCTTTTTACATTCATATTTTCCTTAAAACTGATCTGAAATTGGCTTTTAAAAAAATCATTTTATTGGGAGCTCATACAACTCATCACAATCCATACATACATCCACTGTGTCAAGCACATTTGTACATGTGTTGCCCTCACCATTCTCAAAACATTTCCTTTCTACTTGAACCCTTGGTATCAGCTCATTTTCCCCCTCCCTCCCCGTTCCCCCCTCCTCCATGAACCCTTGATAATTTATAAATTATTATTTTGTCATATCTTACACTGTCCGACGTCTCCCTTCACCCACTTTTCTGTTGTCCATCCTGATCTGGAATTGATTTTGTGATTCATTATATCCAACATGCACTGAAGTCTGTCTTACCCTTCACCTGCCATATATCAAGTGAAAGTTAAGTGTACAGACCTGTTTCCAGGCTATCATCCTATCGATTTGGACTTACTTACATTAATACCAATTTTTAGTCACAACTATATAAGGAATCCTTATATCAAGGTAGAACAAGTCCCTTTATCGTCACTTGCTTCATGAGAATCTTGGCTCTTCTTGGTCCTTTCCATTTCTGTATACATTTCTGAATCAACTTGTTGATGGTATAAGTGATAACAATTATTCCAACTTTCCTACTACTTTTGATTCTTTGTTAGTCACCTTAGAAATTATAACACGTCACCAAAGTCTAATTAAAACCTTTACTTCCTCCTGGATAACAAAAAGATCTTAGAATATATAAACATCATTTCCCACCCACTCCTAACCTACTACTTAGAAATAATCTGATACTTTACTTTGATTAAGCTCCACTAGACTTTTTCTAAACAAGTAATATTCATTCACTTCTTTTCTTCTTGTATTAGACCTTTCTCCTGGGCTCAATTCTTTCTGAAGTTCACCTTAAAGAATTTTCTTTAGCAATTATTTGCTGATCTGAATTTTTTCTACTTTGAAAATAACTATTACCATATACACTCGAGTATAAGCCAACCTGAATATCAGCCGAGACACCGAATTTTACCACAAAAACGGCATTAAAAATGTGCTGAAAAAACTTGGCTTGTACCCGAGTATATACGGTACCTTCTTTAAGACACAGTGTATGTAGAAATCTATATTGACAGTTATTTTTAAAACATCGAGCATATCATCCCAATTATTAAATTCTTTTGATGATAACTGCCACTTTCTGTTTTATTTTATTTTAGAAGTTTTCTATATATTTAGATTTGTATTTCTTTGCTGGTCTCTAATCTATGAACTGGTACCTTTCATGAACTTAGGAAAATCCTCCTTCTTTTCTTCACCACATGTCTGTTATAATGTGGTGGTTTATGTGTTGCAGTGATGCTGGAAGCTCTGTCACTGGTATTTCATATGCCAGCAAGGTCACCCAGAAGCAAGAGGTTTCAGTGGAGCTTCTAGTCAAATGACAAACTATGAAGAAA